GCTTTCAAAGACCTTTCACACGATATCGAACTTTCATATCATTCCTTTGACAGAAACATGAAAAAATTGGAAAAGCTTTTTTTAACCTTTGACCCAGTCTACCAATTATTGACCCCAGGAAAACATTTTAAGAAACGGTATTTCAAATGAACCAAATTTTCATTATTGGTTAAAAGCTTATTTCTTCTCCATACAAACGGGACCAACCTAATGTACTTTTTTATAACATTTGATTAATTTTTACTTTACATCAATTTATAAGTATTATTTATTTATTTATTTATTTAATCATTTCTACTTGTTTTTAAGTTATTAAATATTTTATTGCTTTAACTTACACACTTATATATTTCTCTCTTTTCTGTCTTTAAATAAATATGTTATGAGGCGTATGTGTGTGTGTGTGTGTGAAATATTTTTCTATTAATGTATCCCACGTTGTTTGTGTGTCAATCGCAATTGCTGGAATCAAGTTGCTGACTTAATATTGCTGAGCTGAAGCCATGCTTTAAAAAGGCTGCACAGTCAACTTAATTCCAGGTACTGCAATGCACATTTTAAAAATTCAGCTTTTCTATTAATTTTTTTCGTATTTACAAAACAATTCTCTTTTTTTAATTACAGTAATTTTTACAGTTTTTTATTATTTATTTTAATTTTAATTGTATCATTGTTCACTCATTAAGTCGTTGATTGCTGTTTATTTATTTTTTTGTGGTTTTAAGTAATTTCTTTTGTTGCATTAATTTTTATTCTAAAACATTTTTGGGGGTTTTGTCATCACTTTTTTTCTTAGTAGTTTGGTTTTTGTTATTGAGCTTAATAATTCTTTTAGTTCTTATTAGGTTGAATATTTTATCGTTACATATTTATACGTATATTGCTTAATATTTTTGTTTTTGTATTTATTATTTTTGTCACTAGTTTAATGTTTTATTTGGAAGATTGTTTTTGGTGAATTGCTGTTAGAGAGTAAATAATAAAAGTTGTAATACTTTTTTCGGAAAATTTACATAAAAAAAATTAAAATTTACGAAATATACGTAAGAATAATCAGAAAAAAGCAATTTTTAAAAATTTATTGTAGTAAAAATTTTACATTAACTCTTAAATTAATGTACAAAATACACACATATAAGAATTGTTTAGAATTTTTTTTAACATTTTAATACATAAAAATTAGTTAAACATAAAAAAATATTAAAATATTCTATACGCATTATTTAATGAGTATTAATGCACTGAACAAGAGAAAAATCCGACCACCGATTGAAAATCCGGACGTCAGTGGGTCTGTGAAGTATATTATTTTCCTTTTTTATAGAAATAGGTGTCAATTTTTAGCTTATTTAGAAAAAATATGTCAAAAAATGTTTGGAATTGGTTTGGTCTAATTCAGTATTCTTTAGATTATTTTGAAATTTATATGACCCTGGTCGTTTTTCGATCAGTAATACTTTAAAACAAATTTAATTATTTTTCCCCCGATAAGCTCAAAATTACCGAATTTTTAAACCCACTTCAAAAAGATTGCAAAAAAATTGTTAAACCTATTATACTGAGATCAACATCAACATTTTATCGCGGACTAATAGTATTTTTCCCAAAAAACAAAAGAATATTTTAGTATTTTCAAGTGTTTACTTAAAGACTGCAGTACTAAAAATGTAATTGCGAGATAGCGACCTGAGGCTAGTATGGTAGGGAGCCCTTTTAAAAAAAAATATTTTTTATTTTTTCTTGTATTTAGTACTAATTTCTAAAATGAAAGATTGCACATGAAAAAAAAACAAGCTCTTATAACTAGAGAAGAGCTGTATAGTTAAGCGTAAAATTAGAAAACAGTAGTAAAATTCTAAAAATATTTAATTATTGAAATTTTTTTGAAAACTTTGGGATTTTGAATAACAAATTTATAATTTTTGTTGAAAACTAGTAGCCCAGGAAAATAAGCGTTTTGCTTCGAAATTTAAGATACCTAAATAAAAATTGACACATAGCTTCGTTTTACCACTATTAATAAGGTATTAAAAGTCACCATTAATAGCACTTGTATGCTGAGCGAGATATTGGCGGTCAAAGGTTACAAAAATCAGTCTTTTTTTACGAATGTATCACCTTTTATGCATCGTACGCGTTTTGGTGTGATTATAATTTCTAAAGAATTAAATTTCCTTCATTTTAGCTCAAGACTACTTTTGCATTTGATTAGTTATTTTCGAGCTATAGTGCATTAGCTTTTCATTGCAATTATATTTTCAAATCTTAATATTTTGAACGCCGATACAGATTAAGTCCTATTTTTCCTTTCTTATATTAGCTAAAGATACATAATTAATTTATATTATATTCCTTGTCACATCATCACTCTTTGACACATAGTGCAATGTCCGTCTATGCGAAATTTTTAATATCTTCACTACAAAGTATATGGACTATGACCACCGATCTTCTTAAAGTCTTATTCATAATTGTGACCTGTGACACTTTTTGAAATTATGCATAGACAGACATTGCACTATGGAGATATTTGTAGAAAACCGATTTTTGTAACCTTTGAAAGATAATATCTCGCTTAGTGTACATGGGATTAATGGCGACTTTTAAGTCCCTTAATTAAGATCCCAAGACGAAGTGTTATTTAAAATATTTGAAAATTATACACAGTTTTCTTGATATTAATGTATAAAGTGTTTAGATTTTTATTTCACATAACAAATAAATAGCTTTAAGCTTAAAAAAATCTTAGTATCTCGTTGTTACTTAAACATTTGATAATGCAGTTAGTCGGTTATGCAGTGCATTAGAAGTATATTAAATTCATATTCAATTTATTTATAATAAAGTAAATTATGTAAAATAAACAAGTAAGAATTTATAGTCAGGCGTGGTCGACCATATCATACCCTACACCTGTGATTATGTTACAAATTTTGATTATTTTTTTAATAATAAAGTATTTAATTTCACTTTTACCTTAATTCAGAAATATTTTAACAACTTGTTGGCAAAAAAGGGATTTTCTAAAAGAGGGGTTATATGAGGGCAAGGTGCTAATGTGGTCCTATGTTTATACATTTTGGATTTTTATCTACATCAGTCATATATGCAGAATATCATCGTGATATTAGTGTTTATAAGTGAATTTTGATCATTAAGTCATTTTCTGAAGGGGACTTTGATGGGGGATTGGGTCAAACGAGGCCCGATTATTATAAAAAACAGCAGTATCATCAAGACTTATATTAAACTAAGTTTTGCCGATTTTTGAAGTGATACAAGAATATTTAACATATTTTTGAGCTCAAAGGCCCTATTCGGGGTGTACGGTTGTATGGGGGCTATATGAAATAATGGACCTATTTTAACTATTTTCAATAGGCTTCGTCCGAGGAAGACAAATTTCATTAAATTATCTTGAAATTTGCGACCTGTAGGATGCGCACAAGTTTTACATGGATACACAGCCAGACGGACAGACAGACGGAGGGACGGACGGACATAGCTAAATCGACTCAGAAAGTGATTCTGACTCGATTGTTATACATTAAGGTGGGTGTAGGATTAATATTTTTGGGTGTTGTTAACATCACACAAACGCATAATACACTCCCCACTATAGTGGTGTAGGGTATAAAAATTAAACATTTTATACATTAATGTGTAAATTGTGATGAACGTAAAATCGCAAAATTTCTCCCTTTCATAAAAAAGTTAGTTTTTTAACATTACCAATAAATTATATTTAAACAAATTAATGGTAAACCCTTGAATTTTGTTATTATTAATAAACTTAACTTAAGGCATTATTATTGTAATAATATCCTTAATATTATCAGAAAAATATCAATAACAGTGAAAGTATTTAATAATTCATATTTATCTTTAACATTTAAATGTCATTATTCAATAATATTTTCTATTAAATATTTTAAATATTTGTTTTGTATTTAAAAATACATAAATAAATAATGTTTTTTTTTATCTTTCATATTATAAATATTTGTTTATTACTCTCTAAATTTTTTTCACAATTAAAACAATAGAGAAAAATTATCAACTATTTGTTGTTTTATATAAAATTCTATTGTTATTTTATTTAATAAATGTTGATACATTATTATTGTTATTTGGTTTTTATATTTAATTTTTTCGATTTTTTGGTTTTATATGAATTATTATGTACTACTTTGTTCATGTTTATTTCTTTGTTGCTGCTTTTGAAATAAATATAAGTCTTAATGTCAATGATTAAATTATAGCAGTTTTATTAATTTTTTTTGTTTAATTTTAATTATGTGTTGTTTTTTATTGTTATTTAATTAAATATACATATTTTGTTAGTTGTTTTAGTAAATGGGTTTTAATGGCAATTTTATTTTTTTGTCAACATTGTTTAACATGTCTAATATATAATTTATTTTTAATTTTATTTATTGTTTGTCTAATATTTTTTTTTTTTTATTTTTTAAATATTGTTTTGTCATTTATTTAGCCAATATTGTTTTGTTTTTATTTATTTGGTATTGCTTGAGATTGTCGTTAATTTTTTTTAATTATTCTCTTTTTTGTAATTATTTACATGGTTAAGTGTATTAAGAGATTAATTTATATATATTTTTGTTTAAACTAAATAAATATTTTGTTGTTTTTTTATATATTTATTATTATACAATTGGCACCTTTATACGAAGCATTGTCTTTCTCTATTCTGTCACAAAATATTTTTTTTTTATTTAAAATTTTAACAAATTTCCAGTTTGAAGAAGAGCAAAAAAACAAAACAGTTTAATTTCAAAGTTAGTTTCAGAGGAAAACCCCAAAATTTTAGGCTATAATTTAGCGTTCATTTACTACAAGGTTGGCATATGTGAAATTTCTAGTCTATATTCTCGACCATAGGTTAGTCTATAGTCTGGACTATAGTTTTGTTTATAGTATGGACTACATTATAGTTTTTAATGTGAACAATAGTAGAGTCTTTGGTATAGATTATAGTATAGCCTATAGTCTAGTTTTTAGTCTAGATTATTGTCTAATTTATATTCAACACTATAGGATGGTCTGAATTATAGTTTTGGCTATAGTCTTGACCATTGGGTAGTCTATAGTCTAGACTATAGTTTCGTTTATAACCTGGACTACATTACAGTCTGTAGTGTGAACTATAGTTCAGTCTTGGGTATAGATTACAGTCTAGCCTATAGTCTAGTATATAGTCTAGTCCTCAGTCTAGACTATTGTATAGATTATAGTCTAGCCTTTGGTATAGATTTTAGTCTAGCCTATAGATTATAGTCTAGTCTTTGGTATAGATTATAGTCCAGCCTATACTCCAGTTTTTGGTCTAGTCTATAGTCTAGTCTTTAGTCTAGACTATTGTCTAACTTACTTCCAAGTCTATAGGATGGTCTAAATTATAGTTTAGGCTTTATTGTGCATTAAGTGTTAGTCTATAGTCTGTAAAGCAGTCTGATGTATAGTCATTAGTCTGTAGCCTACAATATATTCTAGTTTGAAGTCGATACTATTATCTAGTCTATAGTGTAGTAGACTATTGCCTATATAAATATATAGGCAAGTCTGCAGTCTGCACTATAGTCTACATATTACATGAAGGGTATGAAGGGTATATATAGCCTAATCTTGTTGCGATTCATTAGTCAGGACAATAATCCAATCTATAGTATGAACTGTTTTCCAGTGTCGCAAGTCAGAACTATAAGCAGTCTGTGGTCTAGACTAGACTAAAGTTTATATTCTCAACTATATTATGGAGAGCCTAGAGCATATTCTACTATCTTGTAAAAACCACGGTCGGATCTATAGTCAGAATAATAGTTTACTCATATCTGGACCAGGCATGATATAATTAATTACATATCAATTACAATTACTTGTGATGTGTAATAACTAATTACAATTATTTGTAATTGTAATTTAAGTTTCCTCAATTACAATTATTTTTATTGTGTAATTGACCTATAATCAGTTACAATTACTTGTAATTGAAATTTACTAATTGCAATTGCTTATAATTGTATTACCAATTACCATTAAATCTAATTAAAGGAAAAAAATTAATTACAAGTAATTGTAATTGGCACTAACTCAATTACAAGTAATTGAAAATTGTTTGAATACAATTACAAGTAATTGTAATACAATAAATTGTAATACAAGTAATTGTAATTGGCACCGTCACAATTACAATTACGAGTAATTGTTGGATATTACTTTATTACAATTCCAAGTAATTGGAAATTGCTTGAATTCAATTACAAGTAATTGTAATTAGTAGAGTTTCAATTCGAATCATTACCCCCAAGCTAGACTATAATCTGCAATACAGTCTACTCTAAAGGCTGAACTTTATGTTAAATTTCTGCAGCATTACTACAGAGAACAATAAATCTGTTATTTAAATTTCCAGCAATTTAACTAAATATATTGATTAGTTTAAAAATTGTTTTAAAAACTTTTAAGCATTTTAAAGAAATTTCATTTATTTAAAAAGAAATCACTTTTAGAAATTTGTTATAAAAAAATAACTATAACTAAATTAGTACTAAATACTTTAGAGAAATTAATAACACTTTTAAATAAATAAATATCATTATATCAAAGAAATATAAACAAAATTTTAAAGATAAATCTCTTTTCAATTAAAAACTAAATCAATAAAGCATTAAGATTTGTCATTTTTTCATTGTGTAAGTGTATGTGTTTTTGAAATAAAAAATTTTTATCAATTATTTACAATAAACTTAAAACTCTCTTTGATATATTGCAATTATGTTCAACTTTAGTAAATTTGTGTATTTTAAAATTCAATTACAGAAAATTAAATTTGTAAAAATCAATAAAAAATATGATAGATATAAAGTTATCTAGAAATCTTGAATTTTAAACTTTATTCTTATAAGAATAACAGTATTTAATAAGGAACAAACCAGCTATAAAAATTGAATGTATCATGAGATAAAATTATTTTTAAGAAAAATATAGTTTTGTGAGAAAAGAGTCAAAAATAAAAAATAAAAAAAAATGTAAATGAATTTAATTATGTGTAACTAAAAACCAGCAATTTTCATCTCATTTCAACTATCTGTACATTTTAATAATTTCTCTAAATTTCTGTTGATTTTTAAACATTTCAATCTTATCTAAAAACTACAAGAATATAATTTTGTCCATTAGGCTTATATCTGTTTTTCTTTTAATGTTTTGTTTTCTTTTTTGGAAAATGTTTTGTATTTTTTAAGCTTATTCAATAATATTTACAAAATGTATTTATTTATATTTCTTAAATTTTTTGTTTGTTTATTTTTTATAAAATTTTTTTGTTTAACGTTACAAGTATGGATTAGAAAAAAATAAATCAAAATAGAAATAACTACAACCACACAATTTTCACTATGATTTTGTTTGTTTTGTTTTACATGTTAAATATTTTTTGTTGTTGTTCTCATTTTTGATTGTACAGTATGTGAGAGGGGGACGTGTATAGGGAGTAGGGGAACCTTAGTTAATATTCCTTGTATGAGTATGAAGACTTTGTTTTGGTTGATGTGATGTTTTGTTGTTGCTGTTGTTTTTTATTCATGTTGCTGTGATGTTTATTTTGTGATGTTGAGCTTAAGTTGAGTTGACTGGATAAATTTGTTCTTGTTTTTATTGCTGCTGCTGCTGCTATTGTTGTTGATAGGTTTTTGGAAAGTATTTTGTTTTCGGTTATGTTGCTGTATAGGAATCCAAAAGAGTGAACATAATGCTGGAATCCTTCATGAAGTTCCACTCTATACACATAAATTCAAACAAACGTATGAGAGAATGTTTTATTTGCAGCAGTATTGTTGGCACATTAAACCATTGTATGTGCAAATGTAGGTGTCTTTTGTTGATGTTGTTGTTGATGCTGCTGTTGTTGCTGTGTTACGGCAGTTGTATTGGTTTTATTGTTATTCTTATTCCATTTGTTGACATATGCCAACGGTATTTCAATTTGTATTTCCTGGATATTATCATCATTGTCCTCATCATCGTCATCTGCAACACCACCACTGCCACCAGCAGCTTTAGCTTTATTGCCACTATTTGTTTTGCTACCACAACTACTACCACCTCTTTTATCCAGCAACATTTTGTTTTCTTTATTCTTTAAACTCTCACTACGCCACGTCTCCAGTCGTATGGTATGCGAGGGTGTTGTTAACAATGTCATAGTTTGTGGTGAACCACTGGAGCCACCACTCGTTCCCAATAAATGTAAATTTTGCATTGATGCTGATGTGGGTGTGGGAGTAGGCGCTAACAGCGCCTCATCCCTACATTATAAACTTTCCACTAACTGACTAGTACGACGCTGTGGATGATTGGCATTGAGGTAACTTTCGGAGTAAACACTTTTCGCACGATTGTCATAACGCAGACTACTGCGTCTGATGTCAATGTCCAGTGGCATATGACGATCTTTCCACCAATTGCAGAATAGACACTGTAGTGTATTGCGGAAAGCTTCTCGAAAGTCACGATTGAAATAAGCGTATATAAGGGGATTTAGGGTGGAGTTGAAGTAACCGATCCAAAACAAGATGGCTACAACTATATCGGGTACTGTACAGGCATCACATAATGTGGTTATGGTGTACCTGGAATTGGAAAAGAGCATTTAGTATTTGTCAATTTCTAAGAAACTGTTGTGTGTTTTAATATTTTGTTAATATTAAACAAATATATTATTCAGAATATAATATATAGTATATGTACGTATATATTATTTTCATTTTTTGTAGTTTTAAATTATTCAGGTTTATGTGGTTTAAACCCAAAACATTTCTCTGTCATAAATTTTCAGAGAAAATATTTTATTGGAGTTTTTTAACATTCTTTTTTATTACTGCTTTAAAATATTTCTATACCATTATTATTTTTTCTTTTTTTTAGATAATATATTGTTTATTTGTTGTTTATTTTTATTATAAACTAACGTTCTACGTTCATATGTTCATTTAAAATGTGCAAAAATTATCAACGGGTTTAAAATTTATTGATATTAAACTTAACAAATAAACTTTATACATAGTTTAATAAGTAAATGTTGTAAACTGTTAAAAAATGTTAAAATTATATTAAAGGCAAAAAAAAAAAAAAAAATTGTGGTGACGGCTATTAAAATTGTGAAAATATTTGTAATTATAGCGTTAGTTAATTTTAATATAATTTAATTATGTAATGAAAAATGCAACTGTGTAGTATTACGAATATATTCTGCACACTTTGACTATTTTACTCTGTAGATTGTAGATAACATTTTACGTACTATATAGACTAAAGTTAGTAAACCACAGCGTCCACAGCGTATAACACCTATGTTCTGTAGAATTAGCGACCATAATCTGTTGACTGTAGCAACTGCAGTTTGTAGGCTATATCAACTATAGACTATAGTGATTAAAGTATGTATACTATTGCAACTGCAGCGACAATAGTCTGTAGACTTTAGCGACTGTAGTCTGCAGACTATAGATTGCAGATAACAGTTTACGTCGGCTAACGTCTGTAAAATATATAGTGTTTAGACTATAGCAGCTATATTCTCTAGACTTAGCGACTATAATCTTTTGACTATAGCAGTAGTTTGTAGACTATATCAACTATAGACTATAGCGATTAAAGTATGTATACTATTGTAACTGCAGCGACAATAGTCTGTAGACTATAGCGACTATAGTCTAGATTATAGCCATTATAGCCTGTATAGTCTAGATTATAGCGTCTACAGTCTAGATTATAGAGTCTATAGTCTGTGGGCTATAGCACCAGTAATCTATAGACTACATTGGCTTCAGTTTGTTGACTAAAGCGGCTACAACCTGATGATTTCAGCAATTATAGTCTGTAGACTATATCGAGAGAGTTATATGGACCAACTATTATAGTCTATAAACTATATCAACTTCGTTCAGTGGACTGTAGCAACTATTGTCTGTCAACTCTAACGACTGTAATCTGTGAACTTTAGCACCTATAATTTACAGACTCTGGCGATTAAAGTATGCACACAATTGCAGCTACAGCGATAATAGTTTGAAGACTATAGTGACTATAGTCCGTAGTCAATGAAACGACTTTAGCGCCTATAATATATGATCAGCTTCAGTCTGTGAACTATAGCGACTATAATATGTTTACTATAGCAACTATAGTAAAGTATAGCATAGCGCCATTTGTCTGTATATATGTAGATACCATAGTGCTACTATAGTCTTTAGACTATGGCTGTCATAGTCTATATACTATAGATACTATACTTTGTATACTATAGCTACTATAGTCTGGAGACTATAGCTACTACAACCTGGAGACTATAGCTACTATAATCTGGAGACTATATCTATCATAGTCTGGAGACTATAGAACGAATATAGTCTAGATTATAGCGAGGATATAGCGACTATAATCTGTAGACTTTAGCATATTTCATGTAAACTATCTTAATTAAGTTATATGAACTTACAACTATAACCCATAAACTATGGCCACTATAGAGACTTTTGCCTATTTAAAATAGCGACTACAGGGTGCTGACTGTAGCTACTATTTAGATATAATACGTAAAGCACTTCTCTTCAGATTGAAAATAACGTAATGTTATAATTTTTTTTTTAATATTTTAATTAAATTATTATTTTAATATAATAATATTATAAAATACTTACCACAAAAAGAATGGCAGCCAACAGAGTATGAATGTACCCATAATTATACCTAAAGTTCTTGCAGCCTTGTGTTCTCGTTTCATTTTAATTAAATGTTTATCTTTCGTTGGTGTATGATCCTGTTCGACCTCATGCAGTGTTAATGTCTTCGAAGAACCAGAACCGCTTAAAGCTTCACCTAATTCATGAAAGTAGATAAATTTAGCAAAAGGTTATTAAAAAAATACAACAAATTTAAGGAAAGAAACAATTATTAAAAAAATGTATGTTTAAATATAAAACATTAATACTTCTTGATAAATTTTTTTAACAGCATTTTCATGTAATAAACTCATTTATTTAGATAAATTTAAAACATATATACACACACATAGTAATTCTAACACTAATGTGTGCGAAAAAAATATGTATATTGTGTATACATAATATTTTTTTTTTGTTTAACGATATAATTAATATAACTCATACGCTACCAGAACTTTTTTCATGTTTATTTAATAATAACAAACTTTTGCCATTTATATTAGAATTTTTGTTGTAATGTATTATACACTTTGTTGCATGTTTCTATTAAGTTGCGAGTTGCAAAAAAAAAACAACTTCTGACTAGTTCTTTATTAACGTTTTATCTTTTAAGTTGCAGGTTATATAAAAACATATGTTTGTATTTAATATTCAGTAACTGTTCCATTAACAGTATTTTACACCTTATCTTAATGTCCATAAACATGCTAAGTACACCTGTAGGCTAACAAAACTCTATGTCTGTTCACACACATAAATTACTTTTACATGTATGGAATTCGCACACAAACACTAGTATTTGAAACTTTCTTTTATGTATGTATATGTTTTCCATAGTTGTTATCTGGTGTTTAAAAACCCGCATTAAAGAAACTATTTTAGGAAATAAGTTTGTTGTAAAATAATGGCAAAATAATATTCTATAGAAGCCTATTAGAACGGAGGCTATATTTACTTGTGTATTAGACTGTATAAAATGGGTTTATTGGCGATGTGTAACTATTAGTGTGAAGCATAGATATCGATATAAAGATTTAATATGGCGAATAAACAACAAACAGGATATTAATGAATAACTTATTTACATAAAGGTTTATACAAGTCTTCAAAGTAGTTTGCTGACTATATGATGTATATTAGGACAGACTGTAAGAACTGTAATCTTGTTGACTACTGAAACTGTGGTCTGTTGACTATAGATTCTAGTCTCCTCTACTGAATTTAGCTTATATGGTTTACAGAATTTAGATACCGCCTGTAGTCTAATTTCTATTGAGACTAAAGTCTTAATTCTTATAGTTTAACTTTAAACAGCATTCAAATACATTAAAACATCATTTAGTAATTTTTCGACAATTTGTATTCACTTCGTGTTTTTTGGTGGAAATTAATTATTCCAGTCATTTGACTTTACACCTGCATACAATACAAAAAAACTTTGCACTTTACAGTTAACACCTTAGGCCAACATTTTGTCTCTTGCATTCTATTTTCCACCTCAATTTTAATTACACATTGTCGCAGAAAAAAAAAAATATTGCAACAAATGAAAATGTGTTGCAGAAAAAGAAGAAGAAAAATTCATGAATTTTTCAATAGTTTTTCTACTTACTTCCGGTTCCGGCAACAGTTGAATGTCGATGCATTAACATTGCATTACCATGACGCATCATCATTTGTTTCTCCTGACGATTTGCCTCACGAAATATTGCCAAATAGGTGAAAATCATAATGGTACACGGTATCCAAAATGATATTGAACTAGAGATGACACAATACGGTTTATTTACAATGAACTCACAGCGGTCCGGATGTAATTTCACGAAATTCTTATGATCATCGGTGGTATACCAACCAATAAAGATGGGCAGGAAGGATAGTAGAGCTGGCGAAATCCATGTATTGAGTATCATAATGCCAACAACGCGTTTTGTCATGCTAATCGGATACTTTAACGGCTTAACGATGGCATAGTATCTGAAAGATGCAAATAAGAGACAGAGTGAAAAAAATGTAAAGCACAGAAATTAAACTGGTGTAAAAAAAATGTATAGAGGACCAGTGCGAAACATGGAAAATGTAGTATGGAGATTTAAGTTAAAAAATGAAAAAATATTATTGCAACATTTATTCACACACACGTTGGTAAATGTAAATGTATGGCTGATTTTAGTATGTATTTTAGTGCCTGTTTTGTGCATGCCGGTCTGTTGACTTAAGACGGTTTTGTTTGTACTACATACGTACAAACATACATACATATTCACATTTACCTTTTGATAAATATACTTCTTATTTGGTATTATGATGGCCCATTTGTTGGTTGAATGCTGTGTAACCATTTTCATTTCATTGCTCTATTCAATTTTTTTCCCCTTCCCTATAAACCGTGAAGTGATATTGTAGCTATTCTTGACGTTTATATATTCTGGGTTGTTGTATGAATGTTTGCGAGGATTTGTGCATGAGTGTTTGTTTGGGTTTTATGCATTTATGCGATGACTACGATGATGATGATGACTGTTTGATTGTATAACTATGTATGTCATGAAATGGTTTTTATGTGTTACATGTATTTTCATGCACTATGGTTTAACGAAGGAAAAAATAAGTTTTGAATAATTTAAGGCGATATTTTATGCGTGGAAAATAGTTGTGAGGAATGCATACATTTAGTATTATTTATTTGGAAGCTAAAGCTCAAATTTCGTGGTGTAGTTAATGAACGAGATTCAACTAACTAACTAACTAACTAACTAACTAACTAACTAACTAACTAACTACTAACTAACTAACTAACTAACTACTAACTAACTAACTACTAACTAACTAACTAACTAACTAACTAACTAACTACTAACTAACTAACTACTAACTAACTAACTAACTAACTACTAACTAACTAACTAACTAACTAACTAACTAACTAACTAACTAACTAACTAACTAACTAACTAACTACTAACTACTAACTAACTAACTAACTACTAACTAACTAACTAACTAACTAACTAACTAACTAACTAACTAACTAACTAACTAACTAACTAACTAACTAACTAACTAACTAACTAACTAACTAACTAACTAACTAACTAACTAACTAACTAACTAACTAACTAACTAACTAACTAACTAACTAACTAACTAACTAACTACTAACTAACTAACTAACTAACTAACTAACTAACTAACTAACTAACTAACTAACTAACTAACTAACTAACTAACTAACTAACTAACTAACTAACTAACTAACTAACTAACTAACTAACTAACTAACTAACTAACTAACTAACTAACTAACTAACTAACTACTAACTAACTAACTAACTAACTAACTAACTACTAACTAACTAACTAACTAACTAACTAACTAACTAACTAACTAACTAACTAACTAACTAACTAACTAACTAACTAACTAACTAACTAACTAACTACTAACTAACTAACTAACTACTAACTAACTAACTAACTAACTAACTAACTAACTAACTAACTAACTAACTAACTAACTAACTAACTAACTAACTAACTAACTACTAACTAACTAACTACTAACTAACTAACTAACTAACTAACTACTAACTAACTAACTAACTAACTAACTAACTAACTAACTACTAACTAACTAACTAACTAACTAACTAACTAACTAACTAACTAACTAACTAACTAACTAACTAACTAACTAACTAACTAACTAACTAACTAACTAACTAACTAACTAACTAACTACTAACTAACTAACTAACTAACTAACTAACTACTAACTAACTAACTAACTAACTAACTAACTAACTAACTAACTAACTAACTAACTAACTAACTAACTAACTAACTAACTAACTAACTAACTAACTAACTAACTAACTAACTAACTAACTAACTAACTAACTAACTAACTACTAACTAACTAACTAACTAACTAACTAACTAACTAACTAACTAACTAACTAACTAACTAACTAACTAACTAACTAACTAACTAACTAACTAACTAACTAACTAACTAACTAACTAACTAACTAACTAACTAACTAACTAACTAACTAACTAACTAACTAACTAACTAACTAACTAACTAACTAACTAACTAACTACTAACTAACTAACTAACTAACTAACTATAACTACCTAACTACTAACTAACTAACTACTACTAACTACTAACTAACTAACTAACTAACAACTACTAAACTACTAACTAACTAACAACTAACTACTAACTAACTAGACTAATACTAACTAAAACTAACTAACTAACTAACTAACTACTAACTAACTAACTAACTAACTAACAACTAACTAACTAAACTAACTAACTAACTAACGAACTAAACTACTAACTAACACTAACGAACTAACTAACTAACTACTAACTAACTAACTAACTAACTACTGTAATCCACTGACTGTGTAGCCCCACTGATCACAGAGATCTGAATTCTTCTACCATACTTCATCAACTATAGCGACTTTAGACTACGGTATAGAGGGACTAGTCGATAATGGTGTACACCAAAAAGCGATACCTTATTACGGCAATTCAAAGGCACAATCCATTGTGTCCACATTACAATTATGCTCTTCTTTTATTCCATAAAGTTTTACCTCTTTTGTTATTGACATTTAAAGCGATTTTATTTCGATTGTTGTAGTATAAAGAGTGTGTGCAATAATTTGCATTTCCAAATATTCTTTTTTTTTTCATGGACTTGAAATTTTCCTATTTGTTTTCTTTCATATACGCAACTAAAACTGCTTCGTATTAGAGTGCATAATAAATGAAAGTTTTCTTAAACAAATATCAAACATTTTACCAGCCATTGAGATTTTCCAAATTCTACGTTATGCATTTGATGTGCATGAAAGATGCAGACAGGTACGGAAATGCCAAAGAAACATAGGAATAGGAAATGGGAAATAAAAGTAAATGCAATGTAAACTGTTAATGGCTGCCATTTAAAGAAGAAATGAAAGAAAAATGAAATGTTTGCAATTTCCATTTTCATTCATACGAAATGAAAATTGAAAAAATAAAATGTACATAAAACAAGAATACATTTTCAATGAGGTTAAGTGGTAACACTTAAAAGAAATACAAACACTCAACTTCAAACACATACATATTTGTTCATATACATATGTATGTACGATGTATGCTGTTATATAAAAATATTTTCTTAGGGTTTTATAAATTAAATTCAGTTGAATAAAAGAGTGATTGAGTGAAGTCATAGGTTGCATAAAGAAAACAAACATACGCTCATGTTTTCATCCTGTTGTAAACACATCTGCTTATTTTTTTTGGTAACACGTGCATTTTGTATTGAAAACTATGGATTTAAGTTTAATTTTATTATTTTTTTTGATTTTATTATACTTTTATTAACATAATATTAAATTTATATTATAGAACGAATTTTTTTTTCGACACTGCTTGAGGTTCTAGGTATACTTTTTAGAATTTGAGTTAATTAGTGATCTACAGAATATGTTGGATTTTAAGTGAAAAATTAGCAAAGAACATAGAAACAAACATATTGTATATAGTGACTTGGCAGAGATCTTTTGCTCAAGTAACAGCACGTATTTATAATATTTAAGTAATTTTTTTCTTAATTTTGACCGAAGTTATAGTTCATTTATGGCTATACATATATGAAATAATTGCAACTACTATTAAGTGTCAATCGTTATTAAAACTCTATAACCATTTATTTTTTTTTAACCTTTCTCATCACGCTAAATACTCTGACATGAACACTGATTAACTCCTTTGTGGTCGTTAAAATGTTACATATCAGATGCATTTGTATGAATTTTGATTCAACTCATTGTTCTTAATTACAATTTATGCACATTTACCATTTATATTGGATTTGTGCTGATGTTTGTAATGCATAGAATTAATGGTCCTATACCCATCTTTTTGTATACCAATCGGCTCAGAATAATTTTCTGATTCGATTAAGCCATGTTCGTCCGTCTGTTTGTCTGTCTGTCTGACTCTTGTAATACAACTACAGGTCGCAATTAAATACATATTACTTTTAACCCAAGGACGATCCCTATTGATTTTGGTTGCTATCGGTCCATTATTTCACCTTATTGGGATTTGGAGCTCATAATTCAGGCTCGAACCACGAACCTTCTGTTTGTTAAATGGGCGCCCTAAACAAATTTAAATTTCTTTGATCTTTTCTAATAATTACCTATAAAGCTAAATGAAATAGTGTGGATGATAATGACCAATCTTTACCAAGTAATGTATGAAATAATTACTACTCATTACTAAAAATTTAAGATTTTTTGCTGGGCATTCAATAAAATAATGTTTTAAAAGTGAAAAATGTTCGTCCATCTGTTTGTCTGTCTGTCTGACTCTTGTAATCAAGCATTCAATAAAATGATGTTTTTAAAGTGAGAAATTTAAAATCTCTTTTTTGTAATGCATGCAGTACTTCTCCGAATTAGGGCTTATAAATTGATATTTAGCATAATAATAGTCTGTTGAAAATAATTAATTTTATATGCGGTTAGAGCGCCATTTTACATAAATAAGAAATCTGGAAATCTTAATCTGGTTCTCACTTAGATCAGGAGATGATCAAATACATTCTGCCGATATTACTTTTAAATTTATTTGCCATCGATGTAGCATTTTTAATTTTTTCCATTTTTAAAATTGTAAAACTTCAATTACAATTACAACTAATTGTAATTGGTTACTGCTCAATTAAACATTACTAGTAATTCTAATTGGTTATTGCTCAATTACACATTACAACTAATTGTAATTGGTTATTGCTCAATTAAACATTACAAGTAATTATAATTGACCATGTAATGAATTACTTTATGTTGCCATTGCCTCCTAATACATTACTCGATTTACCTTATTTCTAACACTCAAAGTGTATTCCCATAATATTTCGAAATTGTTTTCAATTTTCTATTACGCTTTCAAGAGTGCTTGATTAAAATTTGAACAAATTTTGCAAATAAAATTGTGAAATTGAATGTACTATATGAGAATATTAAAATGTACGTGTGTATGTGTAAATTGTTAAATGAAAATGTGTGTATTCATACAGACATACATATATTCATTTATAAATTTATATTTTCAATTGATAATTACCTATCGACTGATATACAGCATAAATGCAATATACTCGCTGTTGAAAAGTAGACATCCAAACTATTCCACAAATCGCATAGGAATGGACTGAAAAGCCAACTGTAAAGAGAGAAATAACATTTTAATATTTGTAAAAAAATATAAATATTTATCAATTTTCTAAATTGCATGATGTTTATGGTGAACACTATATGAGGTTTTGTTTTTATTTGATTATGTTATTGAAGTTTGTGGCAATTAAAGTTAAAGAACACACCTAAACGTATGATACATGAGAAAATATTTGGTTTGTCATAAAATTTTTGAAAACATTTTCATGATATTTCTGTGCTGCTGCAATGTTTATAGGTTTATTTAAAAGTTAAAAATACAATTTTTGTTGTTTTGATTTAAGTTTTTAAAAATAGTTTTATTTTAGTCTATATAAACTAAACTAATAATAAGGCAATTTTTAAATGTGTCATTTAATAAGAGATCAAATTTAATCCCATTTTTCCTCCTTTAACTAATTAACAATTTACTCCTTCTTTTACTTATTTTTTACTAAGTAATTAGCTAAGTATTAAGTTTTTAATTTTCTATTTAATAAATTCATATTAAAAACTGTTGTGTTAGAATTTCATTAGCATGATTATGTTGCAATGAGTTATATTTACCATGAATTTATAAAAGTTCTTTCTCTCTGCCAGTATTGTTATTTTGCTATGTAATATCAACAATTTTATAGGTAAACTTTTACTTTTTATATAATACATTTTTTATATGTATTTTATAATTATGTATTATAATTAGACCATTAATTATGTGCACTGAAAATATAAATATTTCATTTCATTCTTTTTTTGCAGGTAAGGCTCATTTCAAATAATACTGGAATATGTTGAAACCTAGTAAAAGTTGCGAAAATCATATTAAGGTATTAAAAGTAATTATTAAGAGGATTTTAGTTTAGAACATATTAATTAAATATATTTTTTTAAAGGATATTTCTATTTAGAACATTTTAATCATAAATATAACAAAGTAATTTTAAAATAAGTCGTCTTAACTCTTTCACCGATGTCCCAAGATTTTTTTAAATTTTTGTCGATTTAGAACGTAACTTAGAGTTCACAGCTACAGTAATTGGTTACTTCCAAAGAAAAATAAGTGAATTTTTTTTTAGACATCATATTTATGCTAATAAAGAGTTCACAAATCGAATTATTAAAATTTAATTTAAAAATATATACGTTTAATTTTATAAATTTTTCACAATTAAAATTTTAAATAAATTCCGAATTGAATTTGAATATCGAACTGAAACCATTTTTAAATATAATTCTTCAAAATTATGTCTAATTTTAAACATTTTTTACATTTAACAAAATTTTAAAATTTCTTTAAAAATTCAAATTTAATTTCGATAAACATTAGTGCGGAACCATCCATTTCGGCGATAGTAAAGTGGAGCCAGTAGATATTTCCAAGGCGTTTGGTATAGTGTGGCATAGTGCACTTGTATCAAAACTAATTGCATTTGGTGTCAATAATAACTTCACTCGATTTATTTCGAGCTTTCTCAGAGATCGTACTATACGAGTTGTTATAGCTGGAATCTCATCAAATGAGTTCAATATTAATTCAGGGGTACCGCAAGGCTCCGTACTTTCTTCTACCTCATTTCTTGTCTTCATAAATGTTCTTCTGTGACAAACTTCCAACTATATCTACACTTTTGCCGATGACAGCAATATCTATCATTCTTTTTCATTCAATTATAGGCCAAGCTCTCTAGAGATTGGAGCAACGATGCGCAAATTAATCGCTTAATCATGACTTGATAAAAGTCTGGGTGGGATAAATATTAAGGAATCGGAAACTCTTAATGTTCTGGGCATTCAAATGTTTCGGTTTTTTTAAAACGGTGTAAGACATACTTTACTCCATCTGATCTCCTTTCTATTTATACCAACAGAAAATGGAATACAACTCTGATATTTTGGAGATACTCGACCGTGTACAAGAGAGCGCGAAGGTACTTATCAGTGACAGTAGGGTATCCAACTTTATTGATTCACTTGAGCACCGTTGTAACGTGGAGTGCATTTCACTGTTCTAACGATACTATAATCGGACGTGTTCCTCTGAAATTAGGAAACTCGTTCTCGATACCTGTATATTTTTAGGCACACCAATTTGTGGTCGATTGGCCAGTGGACCGCACAACACATTACTGGGAAAAATCATTCTTCAGCCGCACCGTTCGTGTGTGGAAACATATACTCTATACTGTGTTAAAATTACGAAAACTGAAAATATTATTAAAAAGCACAATTTCTGTTCAAAATTATAGTGAAATTTTAAAAACATTTTTGATACTTTTTAACATACATAATTCTATGGAATTTTTTAATTTCCAAGAAACTTAAAAAATACTAAATAAGTTAACATAATTAATTGGTTTATATTTTTCCCCCGAAAATAAACAATAATATTTATTCTCTATGACCAACAGAGTCCTGAACAATGCCACTAGCTTGATCCCTCTTGTGAATTGTTTCTTTTGTTTGTTTAGTTTCACAATTTTTTTGCTAATAGGCTTTCAAAAAAATTTAGTGGCCAGCAAAATCATGAAACTTTTATTAAAAAGTGGCCAATTTGATTTTATTTCAATACACTACAAGCTCGTAAAATGAATTTATTTTAACATGAATTTCTCTGCCAAAATTAAATAAAATAACAATACATTCATATGTCCACCCATGTATACATTAGGGTGTATGGTTTGTATGGAGAAAAAATAAGGTGTCAATGTCCCCACATTAAATTAAAGTTTAATTGGGTTTGAGCTACCGTTTCTCAAAATTTTTATCCAGACGTCAATATTTGGTGAGCTGGATAAAAAGGTCCTTTTTTGGGGTTTTTATATTTTTTTCATATTTCTTCCAATGTAATGATATAAAAATTTTACAAATAATTTTAAAATTTCGACTATTTATGCTGTTATTCAAAAAGTTTTGATATAGCGTTGAAATCGTCCCCCAAAGACCTTTCACATGATAACAAATTTGCATATGGGTTATTTGCCAGAAATATGGAAAAAAAAGTACCTTTTTATCCTTTGACCCAGCTCACGTCAGAACAAAAATTTTGAGAATTGCTATCTTAAAAAGAACTAAATTTTCATTTTCTTAAAGAATTTACATTTAACCATTAGTAGGGATGATAAAAATATATTCCTCCTCCTAATTTGTTGAGAATCGGCCCATATTTGACTTTATCCATAAATTGCTCAAATACATCGGAATTAAGGTAAAATTCGACATAAAAGATTCTTTATGAAAAATAAATCATTTTTAAAACATACTCATGGTGTAGGGTATGATACCCAAGTCGGCCATGCCTTTTTACTTGTTTTTAAATATATATATATATATTTTTGGTTTGTATGAACTACAGACAAAAATATGTATAAATAAAGAGTGATTGTTTTGTGATATCGGTAAAAAAATATAAATAACAGCTACAAAAACTATAAATAATAATAATAATAAAGCCAAAGGGGTGGGACTAAAAGGGTCTATCCCATCTATGCTGAAATCTCTTTAGACCATCACAGAGAACCTGTACCGCATCCAAATGATTCATTTGAAACCCAGAACATGGGGTCTGACCTAAAAGCGTAATTTTCCATCATAACAACTCTCGTCCACACGTCTGTTTCGATCGATAAATGATATCCGAAATTAGCTTAATTCATTCTCAGCCTCAAAAGAGGAGTAGCAAAATCCACATATTTCAAGAAAGATTGAAAAAGTTCATAGCTTATACTTTTTAATAAATTTATATTGTAAAAATGTTTCAAGCGAAAAGTTTTATTTTGTAAATAGTATTACGAAAGAGAAAACCCTTTATGCAATTTACACTGTTCTCTGTTTCCCTATTATAATTTTGTGCAACAAAAAAAAAAACTTTGCAAATTTTTGTTTTTAAATTCCACGATAAAAAATACTTGTTAAGTTTAAAACTTATTCTGTTGGTTTTTGGTTTGGTTTTAATTTTATATAAAAAAAACTATTACATAAACAATTGGGAAAAATATGACTTTGTATTCATTTTAACAAGCAATATAAGAAGAATAAAGGAATTTTGTTAATTGTAAAATGTTTATTAGGCTGGCAGCAAAAAACTTCGGGAAAGTTAAATTTCAGAAGATTTTATTTTATAATTTTATACACATATTTCGGCAGCCAGTTACTATAGTGCAACAGCATTCCAGCAAAACATATTCAGCTGTTGTTTCACCAACTAAACTTGATTATATGAAAGGAGTGAAGGATTTCAACTAATTTATGTGCATGCAAAATTCATAAACATTTCTAAAAGTATGCAACAAGAAAAACAATAACAACATTTAACATTTTAACACTAGATGGTAAAAGAGAATAAAAAACAACACAACTAAACTTTAAGTAGACCAACCGGAGCGTGTAAAACTTATACAACTTTTGCTAGTATTTTTAAGTTGCAAAGAAGGTAACCTTAAACGTTCCTTTACAATTTCTACTCGCATAAGTAACAGAAGTTTTGCCCCCTCCCCAAAAAGAAAAAATAAACTTAATAATCCTTGTACTCGTATTAGCATTTTATAAAAACCAAAGGACAACTTAATATTTTCTTTAGTTAGTTTTAATATTTTTATCTTACATCAATTAAGTTTTAGCATTAATTCATATTAAGACTTAAGGTAAAAAATGTATGCTGGTATTTAATAGGACCATTATTATTATTTAAAGTCACTTGCTGCTATATTGCAAAAATATAATAATTTTTCGTACCATAAAGTTTTACAAATGCAATTATTTTTTTAGTTCTTTTATAACCCTTGTCACTTTTCACTCTTTGAAAATATTAAAAGCCTAATTTATTTTAATTTTCTTCTGATTGAAGTATTCTGTCTCTCTTCTTTAAGAATCGTTTTTAATGCACTTTTATTTAATTAATTTAAAAACGTGTTTCTTTTACCTCTACTTTATAGTTCTTTTACCATTAAGTTATATTTTTTTTGAACAACTCAAAAGGAACTACAAAAAACTGAGAAAAAATATGCCATGACC